CTGGTTGCAGCTGACGCGACTGATAGCAGACGACGCGTCCAACGCCTTCTAGGTCGTACTGCATTAATGCACAGCCGATTGCGAAATCGCTGGCATCACAGACCACATGAAATGGCCTGTCCTGATCGGCTATTGCTAGGACTGGGGATTGTATCAAGCTCTGCTTGATACCATCAAAGGAGCGCTGACATTCAGCGTTCCACAACCACCTCTCGTTTCTTTTCAACAAACGAGAGAGGTGTACAGTCATCTCGGCGTAATTGCGTGAATCCTTATGCAAGTACGCCGCTAGCCCAAGGAATTTTCGAAGACCTTTGACATCAACCGGCACAGGCCAGTCGGTGATCGCCTTGATCTTTTCGGGATCAGGACGTACACCGTTCTTACTAAAGATGCACCCAAGAAGTGGTATTTCGCTTGCTGCAAATATACACTTCTTGAGGTTTGCATACAATTGGTGCTTTCGCATGATTGTAAGAACCTGTCGGACGTGGTATCTGTGAACCTCAACGTCCGACTTTCCTTCCATAGCTCGACTATGGATGAATACGTCATCGAAATAACTCGGCGCGAATTCTCGTACTGGTCTCAACAGATGTGATACACATCTGTTGAACGTGGCAGGGGCATTACTAAGCCCTTGTGGCATTACTAGCCATTCCCAGAGCATGCCGCTAGGCGTGCTCACTGCGGTATATGGTATATCCCGTTCTCGCGTAAGGATGTGATAGAAGCCATCCATCAGATCCATGGACGAAAGGATGGTACTCTTTGACATACCATCAATGATGACATCCTTCGTCGGTATCGGCGTCTGAGCCGGTACCGTTGCAGCATTCAACTTGTTAAATGCATGCACTATCCGCCACCCTCCTGTTGCTTTTCGCACACAGAAGGTCGGAGAGCTATGTGGGGAAGTTGATTCCCTCACATGGCCCGCAGCTAAACGATCGGCAAAGACCTTGTCGATCGCAAGTACTTGTTCACGAGGCAGTGGCCACTGCTTCATGACAGAGTACTTCGAGCCTGGTTTAAGCTCGACCTCGTGTCGAATACCTTTATCTTTCGGTAATTCGCACGGAACAGTTTCAGGAAATACATCCTTGAATTCAACCAAATCTTCATAGAGAGTATTTGTCTTGAGCGGTTCCCACGATTGGGAGTCATATCGCTCAACTCGTGTCTTTTCATCCAGGACACTCTCGTCCATAGATGAACTACTGAGAACTCTCTCGTTCACAGTGAACACTGTTGCTGACCTTATGTCGGCTACACACTCGTCGTCAGCGACGAGTACGCAGATCTGCTTGACTTTGCCACTACGCAGATCACGCAAGAACCTTTTATGTTCGAGCGTTGGCAACTGAGTGATCTCCGAAGTCAACTTCGAAGGCGCAATCAGATCAAGTGTATAAACGCCTACACTTGATCCGTTATTGACCAGGACATTCAATGTCTCTGTCATTTCCTGGGGACTTATTCCCTCAGGCCTCGAAGGACTTATTCCTTCGGCTTCCCGGGGACTTATTCCCGCGGGTTTCGGGGAACTTATTTCCGCCGTATTTGTAATATCGGGACTTATTACCTTAACTTCCTCTAGCTGGGGTTGCGCAACCACAGCGAGATCCTCTACGAAAGACTCTCCAGTCGATCTAGGATTATCGTTTTGCTTAACCTGAGCGATCGATTGTTTCTCTTCTAGATGTTCCCCGCTAGGGATACATCTTTGTCCCGGTCCACTCGACTTATTCGAGTGGTGGACCTTCGGCGCAGCCTGTGTTTCCTCACAGCCGCCAAAACTTTGCTTTGAAGTGTAACCGTTTGGTACACTAAGGTTTTGTGCAGTCGTACTAACGACCGTACCACAAGTGAGGCCATCGCACTCACTCGTAGTACATCCACATGCTTGTGGACGCTCCAAAACGTTCATCAGATGGCCATCTGATGAACAAGCGGCAGGCATCGTTACTGTTCGATGTTGCTAGTTTACCCGTGGTTTGTACCTTCTGAGCCACGGTTTTCTAAGGATGACATCAAATTTGTCATCCAAATCCAATGCGATAAAGTCATCGTCACATTGGGTATCTTCTAGTGCATAGTGAATCTTCACTATACGCTTCATGACGGTTATGGATGCGCCTGTTTCAAGACGTACCGTCATCCTCGTAGGAGGTGTGTCACATTCAACAAACTTGAAGTGACCATCTTCTAGCGATTGGCGTCGCACAATTGTTGGACGCCCCACAATCGACCAGAGCTCGAAGGGAAAACTAATTTGTCACTTCGAGTTTCAAGGTAATGAGTGAGATCTCATTATCTAGAGCAGTAACGCGCAACGTTTGTGTGTTGGGAGCAACCTTCATCAAGAGGCCTACAAATTCTCTTGACGTTGCTGGACCAGTAGGGTGCTCCGCACCTACTGATCCTGTCCGTTTTTTGACGGTCCATCCCGTTGTTGCGTCTCTGCACCAACAGCGAACCCGCGTCCCTGCCCCTTTGTCATGGGTGGACGGTCACTACGCCCAGTGTTGCGATACACTGGACGAGGGGCACTACACTCGTAAGCGTACTGTCCTGTCTTCTGACATCTGTTGCATTTCTGCAACTTCTTGTTGTCTGTAAAGCGAGTCTTCTCGCTCTCTACATAACAGAGTTTCATCGGCTCTGGACCTCTGCTGTCATATCGTCTCGGTGGACGATATGATGTCAAGCTGGCGCGAGCCTGTCTAAGACTGAAGTCTTCCTGTTCCGCAATGGAAATGGCTTGTTCTAGTGTATCTAGTTCAAGCCGGAACAGGTGAGTCTTGACGGGACCATCCGCAAGACCCTGCATGAACACCGAAACCAACGTGTGTTCATCAACCGGGTTGGAACTTAAACAACTCGTAAGATGTCGTATATGTTGCGCGTAAGCGTGCACATCACGCTTACCCTGCTTGAGCTTCAAGAGTTCGGTTCGAGCTCTGAACTCAGCTCTAGGCGGCTCAAACGTTTGTCTGAGCCGCGACTTGAAGACTTCCAACGACCCAAACGCATATGGGTCGTGCAACTTGAGCCCCAGTGCCCAAGTCTTGGCACGTCCTGCCAGATTTGACTGGGCAAATGCAACTTGCATATCCCCGTCGTCGATGCGACGCGCCTATATGGCGTCGTCTAATTCGACGAACCATTTCAAGAGGGAGTCCTCTTCGACCCCCCTATACTTAGAGATGTCAATCTTCAAAGTCTCGGGTCGACGCGAGTGCATCGACCCACCAGCAGCAGCCTGCTGCTGTCTCAACAGTTCAAACTGTTGAGCACCCTGTTCCCTCAACAACTCTGCTTGTTGAGAACCCTGTTGGTGAAGCAAGGCTACTTTCTCGCGTTCAGCGTCAAGTACATTTTGAATGAACTTGGTGATAGTTGCATGTTGGGCATCTCTATTGAGAGCCTCTAGCATGACGCTAGCAGCATGGATGCCCATGGTCGAACCCATTCGTTCAAGCGCATCCCATTCGACATCGCTCAAATGGGAGTAGCCATCACGCGTAGCGTAAAAGCTTTGGTCATCATCATCATCTTTCATATTCATGTTAGATGTGAACGGGGTCCTTGGACGGACTACAAAGTGCTACCAGGTGTAACGGGGCACCCTGAAGCTTGTACTGGTAACAGTACAAGCTACTTATTTTGATGACAGAATAAGGCGGTGCCTCGGAACTTCACGTACACTCGTACGTGCAGAGGAAGACGGTAAGAAGAAGCGAGTACTTGGTTAGAGTAAAAAGTAGAACTGTGTTTAGCATAGTTAATATCTGTTAATAAACCACTGTCTATCCTCATCTAACTATGTCTGAATACAAATGTGCATATCAACTATCTGCTCACCACTCATTGCGTGCGTCTGTCGTGGCGCGTCTTCGTTGGTTGATATAATGGCCTATATCAACCAATTAGGAACTACTCGTAAGTGCTGCAGAATATTTGTCCTTATGACAATATTCTGAGAATATGACTCTTATAGTTATATTCTATTAACAATTTCTTATAAATTGTAATGTAACGATTCACCCCGTTACACCCCTGGTTTCAATTCAAAATTCGTCGTTTCCATCACATTTTTCGTTTTTCTCGATCGCCTGGGCCAATGAGATGCAATCAACCTCCGCCTATAAAACAATCTCATAAATTTGAGACGATGACACTTAGTCTCAAAATCAATCTCGGGTGTCGCAGAACTGCAAAACATAGGCAGGATTGCAAAAAATTGTTTTCTCGAGTTATCCCCAGATATATCTCGCGCTGTAGCGCACTTTCATGAGTAAACAAAATCGCCACTTTTTTATTTATGCAGAGAGTTTAGTCATACTGACTGCTGTAGATGCTCTTAGAAAGACTCGTGCGCGGTAAACCTAGCGGTATGAACAGCCCGAAGGACATAAAATAGGGTTTGAAAGCTCGGCACTAACCTTGCGCACACTCACTGACACCTTCACCCTCTGGGCTCGCAATCATCAAACTTGCATAGCTGACGACATGCATTTCGTGTAGGCAGTCAACGAGCATGTGCATGCGTTTTGGTTGTACCTTTGTACCAAACCTATTTCTAGAACGTGCTCTCACTGCATACCGCTGGATTGCGGTACCTTGCCACGCTCTCAAGTCCGGACCGAATGATCATCGTGTTATTGAAGTGCTTATGTTGCACTACGTCCAGCGGTGATTTTCCAGCTTGACCTCTCAACAAAAGTTTTGTCCAATCCTTATCCCGAAACCACAGCCCTATCCATCATCGTATGATCTAGCCGAGTAAGAGCTGCGGGATCTTGCAGCGCTGTGTCATGTGATCATTGGTCAAAACTCGCTCTTTCGCATCAGTGATTGGCCACCTCGCTTCCCCTCCAAAACCCACATGACGTCACTCCCCCTCCCCACGGATCAAGCAGACAGACAGTCGGACGTGCCCTATCATCCCACTGGACCAAGGCGAACGCGCGCGCGCAGGTGATCGAGAGAGAAACATGTCGCTGCTCAAAGAGATCCAAGCGAACGCTGCCGTGGCCTGGAGCCCCATGAAATGGCGTCCGGAGCTCCTGGCGCTCGGCTCCAAGGGCGACGGCGGCGTCGGCTTTGAGAACAATGGCGGCGAGTTCAAGCTCGTCTCGATGGACCTCAGTAACCCTAGCCCCACGATGCTCACGCTCGGAGCGATCAAGACGCCGTCCCGCTTCACGTCGCTGGCCTGGCGCGACGTCCCCCGCCATCACGACACGTGCCCCTATGGTATCATCGCTGGCGGCATGGCCGATGGCTCGGTCTCGCTCTGGAATCCCGCTCTGATACTGGATCGAGAACCCGGCAGTGACGCGCCAATGTCCTGTGAGATTGGCCGCATCACGCGTCACAAAGGCGCGGTCAATGCGCTGCAGTTTAATCCGCACGAAGACAGTGCACACTTGTTGGCTTCAGGCGGCAGTGACGGAGAAGTGTTTATCATGTCCTTGGAGAAGCTGGCCAGTCCTGGTGTGTTCACGCCAGGAGGTCCGGTCGTGACCCCGCAGACGCAGGTGAATGAGATCACGAGTGTGGCGTGGAACACTCAGGTGACTTACATTATAGCTACGGGCTCGCAAAACGGCACGGTGGTTATTTGGGACCTCAAGCAGAAGAAACCATGGTGTGAACTGCGTGACCCAGCGCGGGGAGCGACGACAGCTTTGGTTTGGAACCCGAACGAAGGGCTGCAGATTGCAACTGCGTCAGGAGATGACCAGCAGCCTGTTGTGAAGCTTTGGGACTTGCGGAATTCGACCAGTACGCCGTTAGCTGAATTCCATGACCATACAGCGGGCGTGTTGTCGATGTCGTGGTGCCCAAACGACCCAGGACTCTTGTTATCGTGTGGTAAGGACAATCGGACGCTGCTTTGGGACCTCTTCTCGCGCAAGACGGTTGCGGAACTCCCTTCAGATGCTCCTGATGCTCCAGCAATGGGCTCGGATCAGTTCTTTGGTGGTGTTCTGGCTGGCCAGCGTCGTTGGAATGTTCAGTGGTCCCCTCAGATCCCTGCTGTTGCTTCGACGTGCTCGCTGGATGGCAAGGTGCAAATTTGGAGCCTTGCTGGTGGTGGCAACCCAGACTGCCGTCCGCCTAAGTGGATGCGTCGCCCAGCTGGTGCATCCTTTGGATTTGGAGGAAAGCTGGTGACGATAGCTAACCCACAGGAAGCTACAAGCCACAACGGGGACCATCGTCGTCTTGTTCATATGCAACGTGTAATCAGTGACACAAGACTCGTAGCTGAGGCGGAGGCTTTGGACCGCTCGCTGGACACAAAAGACTTTCGCGGTTATTGCGAGCAAAAAATTGCGACAGCCGCGACAAGCGAAGAGCGCAGTGTATGGAGTTTTATGAAGATTCTTTTCGAGAAGGATGCTCGCCAGCACCTGCTGCTTCACCTCGGGTTGGACGCAGAAAAGATTAATGAACTGAACGCCAAATTCAACCCTGCAGCAGCAATTCCACCTGCTGTTGACACGACGGCGCATGTCCCCAAAGCGCAAATTGATCCCGTAACGGGAGCATTGCTCAGTAGTCGGATTGATGTGCGTGTTGTCGCGTAGTGGGAAAATATCTTGGGGATTATTCATCTGACTCACTTTTGTTGTGTACTGTTCGCTTGTTAGTCTGGCATGGGAGCTGAAGACGTATTCTCATCAGGCTTTCACCCCAACGGTGGTGACAAGACTACAGCAGCTAAACCAGAGTCTCCGTTGTCCAGTGTTTCCACTCTGGCTGCTGCGCTACCCTCTGTGTTGGATGAGGATAAAAGTAAGCGTCTGGATGCAGCCCCTACTCCTGTATATACCGAGGAATCCGAGAGCACGTTGATGCAGGCGCTGCTGGTTGGCAACTTCGAAGTGGCCGTCAACTGCTGTTTGGCTTACAACCAGCTCGCTGACGCGTTGCTGCTTGCTTCTTGCGGCGGCCCCGAGCTCTGGGAGAAGACTCAGCGCTCGTTCTTTTCGCATCAAACGCGTCCAGTGATGCGAGTAGTGGCGGCCGTTATCAAGAATGAGTTGAGTGAGCTCGTGGATGTGTCAGACCTTACTGAATGGCGCGAGACTCTGGCGATTTTGAGTACTTACGCCAAGAGTGAAGAATTCCCGTCACTTTGCGACAAGCTGGCTACTCGCCTCGAGGCAGCTGGTGATTTGCACTCTGCAACTCTGTGTTTCATGTGCGCTGTGAACGTTGTGAAAACCGTGAACGCGTGGTGTGAGGCAAGCAAAGCTGAGGCTCGCGTGCACGGGCACCATTTTGCACTGCACCGCCTCGTTGAAAAGGTATCTGTGTTCAGCATGGCTACCGACCCACCCGACCAATCCATGGGTCCCGAAGTGGCTCAGCATTTCGCCGATTATGCTTCTCTGGTACGTGGCAAGCAGAGTCTAAGTTATTCTGGGGAAATGTTTGCACTTTTTGACCTCCTTCCTTGTGTTCTCGTTGCTATGGCTAATCAGATGGCTGCAGAGGGCCGTTTGGACATTGCCGCAAAATACGCACGCTTCCCGGACCTCAGTTGCGCGATCTTGAAGGACCGCATTTATAACGCGTACCCAGTGCAAGGATTCCAGCCTCCTCCGTTCCCGTTCGACGTCGTTCAGATTCAATCACAGGCACAAATTCAGCAGCGGCAGCAACAGCAGCAGCAGCAACAACAACAGCAACAACAACACCCAACCCCTGCGCTGCAGCAGCAGCAACAGCGAGGATACGGCAACAAACCGGCCTACGGGGCGGGAAGAAACCAGTTTGGTGCTACTGCTGCTCCGACGCCCACTCCGGCTCCGATGCCCGTTCCAGGTGCTTTTGGTGGTGTCCACGCCACGGCTTACCCACCTCAGCAACAACACGCGTCGGTACCAACGCCGGCTTTCCCCAGTCATCCAAGTAGTTTCCGACCGGTTGTCCAGCAGCCACAATATCCTGGTACTCCGGGTCAACCTCCGCAACCGCAGCAGTCTGGAAACTATCCAAACCAGCAGCAGCAGCCAGCTTATCCAGGCCAGTCTGCACCGTCTCCGTATGCGCCTAACCCGGCACCGACACCGTTCCCGGGTCAGTCTGCGGCCCCTGCGTTCCCGGGTCATGCGAGACCACACCCGGCGCCTCCGCAACAGCCTGGATACGCCCACCCGCCGCAACCAGGCATTCCAGGCCAACAACCTCCCCAGCAAAGTTTCGTGTCGGGTCCCCCATCGTCGTCAGGTGGCCGTTCGCGCCAGCAGATGTACTCCGGACCTCCATCGACGGGTGGCACTCCCCACATGCTTGCTGCGTCGTCACCTGCTTATGGTGGCGCTCCTCGTCCTGGGACGGGGTTTGGTGCTGCTGCTGGTGCGTCGCTTGCCGCCCCTGCTTCACCATCCATTCCCCAGGGTACGGGGGTGCATCCCCTTTCGGCTGCAATAGGATCGTCGCGCATTGCCAAGCCGTCTGTTGATATGACATCGCATCAACGAGATGGGTTCGTCAGTAGCGTGGGCAACAAGGAGCTGACACTCAAATATGGGAATGCTACGACAGCTTCGCTCTCACCCGTTGCAAACGCCACACCGAAAGCCGGCGGTTTTGCACCGAACGTTGTGCCGGGCAGCACCGAGAATGTCGGTCCTCAGGATCTTCCGATTGTGAACGCGTTCAACGACCTTGTGGGCAACCTCCAGGCTCTCCCTCTCACAATGGTATGTTGACATTTTGAACATTGTGTTGTACTCAATAATGGTACTGACTTGTCATTTGATTTGCAGATGGAGCAAAAACAGTTGCAAGAGATACAAAAAGGCAAGGAGATCATGTTCACGAAGCTCAATATTGGCGATCTGACGCCGGAAGTCGTGTCCCGACTGCACGAGATAGTGGCATGCTTTGGACGGCGCGATTTTGGTAGTGCCCAGACCATCTACGTGGCTCTCACGGCTTCAGACTGGGCGCAGCACAAGGATTGGCTGCGTGGCCTTAAATCGCTCATCCACATCTCCATGAAGCGCTTTAGATAAGCATAATGCACCCATTCAGATGGAGAAGTGAGTGCAGGGCAGTGACAGTCCACGGATGCAGGTCACAAAGTGAAGTAGTTGCAGTTTGTGCTGTGTGCGAAGACAAAACCAGGTTGAACGTGTGATAAGTGTCATGTGTCCAGTGATTTAGTATCATAATCACGCGTCTGGCTGAAAACAGAACCACCAACACAAAGATGAAGCTGCAGCTTCAACGAGGATTACCTAACTGCTGAACAACAAACATCACCGATGGCAGTGTGTAACCACGACTACGCCCACTGTCCTAATCTTCTTCATTCATAAATAAACTTGGGGCTGGCGCGTTGAGTGCGTTGCGCTGGCCCTGCGAACTAGAGAGCGTGGGAAAAAAAAGGCTACCGATGACAGGTTATGGCCTTTCATCAGGGTCATTGCATCTATATTGGCATCGTACCGGTGCTACCGTCACAGCAAGCGTCAGTGCTTAGCCGTGTTTGGCTACCGGAATTTATGATACCGAAAAAACATCCGTGTTCCTGTCGAGGCCCTTCCTGAACGCCAATTCGCGTATCAGCGTATCGGTCCAACATCTTGTAAATTAGAACCCCTGCGCTAGAAGCGTCCTTCCAAGACCAGGTTGAGTTGGATGCAAGGAGGTGAACTGTACCAAAAAAGCTTAACGTCTTCTCGGTGCTAGCTGCCCATAGGACTAGAACAGTACTCATCTACTCATCCGTGTTGTCCCCCACCGTCGTCACACGTGCGCAACCTCAAAAGCTAGAGGACCCAATTGTCACCCTTGCGCTCGAAACTAGCTGTCTCACGCTTATTCAAACATTCCTTTCCTTATCGCCGTAAAGGCACATATAATGAAGGGATGGACTAGGGCACACTAGAACCTCGTCATTTTGCAATGGTGAACGTGAATCACAGCTATGACCTGAACTGCTGATCCACAACGTCCAGGATTTCCGTCTCAGTATCAAACGCTACACAATACATGCCGTAACATCCCTTTTTACACGTATGCGAAAGTGTAAGCTCGCTCTATTCTTCCGCTGTAGACCTCATTTCGACGTGTTTTCTTCTCATCACATTTCAGCTCCCTTCCTTCAACATGCTACACTAAATATTGAAGAGCAGGTCAATTATTACAAGCTACAGTTTAGCCTTGCCACGAAATACATGTTTATTGCCGCGCACTGTCGCAGATGCGAATGGCAGCCTGCCATCAATGTCTTTGCAAGCTTTTATCTCAGCATCCCGTCGATTCTCACTCAATGACTCGTTCTCATTGGATCAACTCCCAAAAGTGATGGATGATGGCAAAACACACACACAATTTCAACAAGAGACGACACACACCCACCCACCCATGTCACCACTTTGACTTTTGAACCTACCGACCGACCGACCGACCGCCTTTCCGCATCCGTTGCCCTTGTGACCGCAAAACAGATTGTCGTGAAAGGAAAGCTCAACGACGACAAAAGCAACGACCATCACTCTGACCGTGCCGCATTCATGAAGCGCCCGCAGACGCTGCCATCGCTACCGACGTCCCTGTCGTTCCCGAGCTCACCACCGCCGCAAGTGTCCAAGTATGTCGTCGGCGTGTGTGCCATGGAGAAGAAGACGCGGTCGAAGCCCATGCAGGAGATTCTCCACCGTCTTCAGAAGAAGCGGCAGTTCGACGTGCTCGTGTTTGACGACGACACGATCCTCCATCGCCCTCCGCACTTGTGGCCCGTGTGCGACGCGCTCATTTCCTTCTACTCGACAGGCTTTCCCCTGCAAAAGACCGAAGAGTACGTTCGACTAGTGCGCCCTGTACTGGTCAATGAGCTAAGTATGCAGCATGTGCTCTTTGACCGCCGTAAAGTCTACGCGCTGCTCACGCGTCACGGCATCCAAGTCCCTCGCCACATTATCGTGAACCGCGACCTGCCCGAGGGCGCGCAGCAAGACGAGCTCATTGAGCACGACAATTACGTGGAGATTAACAACGTGCGGATCAACAAACCGTTCGTCGAGAAGCCAGCAGACGCCGAGGACCACAACGTGTACATTTACTATCCCACAAGTGCCGGGGGAGGCAGCAAGCGGCTGTTTCGAAAGGTCGGCGACCGCTCGAGTGAGTTCTACCCACATGTGAATCACGTGCGACGGGACGCTTCGTATATTTACGAAGAGTTTCTGAATACACAGGGGACGGATGTCAAGGTGTATACAGTGGGCTCGAGCTACGGCCACGCCGAAGCGCGCAAGTCGCCAGTGCTTGACGGTCGCGTCGTACGTGACTCGGCTGGGAAGGAAGTGCGGTATCCAGTGATTTTGAACGCGACGGAGAAGGAGATGGCACGGAAAGTGTGCTTGGCGTTCCATCAAACAGTGTGTGGCTTGGATCTCCTGCGTGTACGCGGCAGCTCGTACGTTTGCGACGTGAACGGCTGGAGCTTTGTGAAGAACTCGAAGAAATATTACGATGATTGTGGGCTGATCTTGCACAATTATCTGGTTTCGGCTCTGAGGTCGAGGTACTTTCGACAACGTCGAGCGAATTCACTTAACTCAGTGGGTCTGCAAATGTGTCCACAGTACGCAACGGAGCCTAGTCTCTTGGATAGCGGAACTCCGGAATGGCCTCATCCTCGACTGAGGTCGGGCTCTGACGTGTCTGAGTCGAGTCTAGCCAGTGCTAGTAGTGCCAGCTTGCCTGACGAGAAACGCGAAGAGTTACGCTGCGTCATTGCCGTGGTACGTCATGGCGATCGCACACCGAAACAGAAACTGAAGACTCATGTCTGGGAAAGAGATCTTGTAGCTTTTTACGAAAAGCGGCAGAGCGGAGACAAGTACGACGAGGTGAAGGTAAAGTCAGTTGCCGATCTTCAGGAGCTACTAGACCTAGTGCGTAGCCTCATCAAGGCGTATGCCCCCGGCGTCGGCTCGATGAATACAGCGTGGGAAATCGAGGGTGGGGACAGTTTCGAGAAGCTGCTTCAAATGAAGCGCGTGCTAGAGCGGTGGAAATTTGCAGGTATTAACCGCAAGGTGCAATTTAAGCCTCACAAGAACTTTGCGACTGCCGCTACTGCGTTCGCAGATGCCCCCGAAGGATGTGAACGACCAAAGGTGCTCATGATATTAAAATGGGGAGGGGATGTAACAGAACGAGGCAAGCAGCAGGGTGAAGCACTTGGTCAGTCATTTCGAAACAGTCTTTACCCTGTTGACGTGGAAGAAGGGGGTCTGCTCCGCTTGCACTCGACGTTTCGCCACGACTTAAAGATCTTTACGTCGGACGAAGGCCGCGTGCAAATGACTGCAGCTGCATTCGCGAAAGGTTTCTTGGAGCTCGAAGGAGACCTGACGCCAATCCTTGTAAGCCTCGTCACCACGCTTGGAAGAGGTATGTTTTTTATTCGTTTTACGACAGGATTGCGGATTTGCTGACTTTGTTAAACGACCGTTTGTACACATCTAGATGCCAATAAAATGCTGGATCACTCTGGTCAAGCTGACGCTACAGACGAGATGCAGGTTATAAAAGCCAAGCTAACGGCGTTGCTACAGCGTGACTTCTCTTCTATCGACGAAATGAAGGCTGCAATTGCACCTTTGAAGACCGAGTCGATAATGCAAGCGTTGGACATCATAAAGAGTCCGAAAGAGGCGTTGGTTCGTCTTCTGGAATTGGTTCGAAAGCTTCGAGGCGAAATCGCTGAACGCGTGCACGATAAGCGTGAGTAATCGCTCGGCATCGCGTAGTGTTTTGATTTTATCTAACTCTTGGTGTTTTGCTACCTGCGTACAGAGGCTGACGAGGTAACTCCTTTGTACATGGGTGAAACGTTCTCGCTTATGTTTGAGCGCTGGGATAAGATATTCCGTGACTTTTACTCGACCAAGACAGACACTTTCAACCTGAGCAAGATTCCCGACGTGCACGACTGCATCAAATATGACCTGCTCCACAACGCGAGCGTCGGTTGGAAGTGTGGTCCCGATCTTTACCGGCTGGCTGAAGCTCTGGCGCGATGCTACGTCTCACAAGAATATGGTATGGACATTGCGGAGAAGCAGTCAATCGGCAATCGTGTGTCGCAGGCGCTTTGTGCAAAGATTCGCGCCGACATTGTCACAGTCATGTCATCTTCCGTTCACGGGCAGCCTTCATCACCGTCATCGAGGAGTCTCACTGGAAATAACGACGATGCTGCTGATGAAAATATGGATGACATTGCAGACCAGGATATCGAGCATCATGGCTATCGATTGGATCCTTCTTACGCGAAAGAGCTGCGAATTAAGAGCCCCGATACGCAAATTCGCACGCGTCTTTATTTTACCAGCGAAAGTCACATGCACACGCTGCTGAATGTGCTACGTTTTCAGTGCCCATCTTGGCGCGCACGAATTCACGATCGCGACGAGTACGACGAGTACGATATTTCTCTCGAGCAGGAAGAGTTCAGCAACGAGATTTTGAAACGTATGGGTATCAATGTGAACGATCACATGACGCAACGCAAGTACGTGTTCTGCGAGTCCAAGCTCCTCTCGGAAAGTAGTCGGCGTGCACTAGACCGTATAGCGGAAATCAATTACCTCGCGCACATCGTCATTCGCGTGTTTGAAACACTGTCACTGCCGGAAGACAGCGAAGACCGTTTTCGCGTGGAAATCTCGTTCTCTGCGGGCGTAAATGATAGGCTAGCGGAAACTGCCGTTGGCGCCGACAAAGCGCACGACACGATTTACCTCACGAAGAACATGACGGGCGTCATGTTGGAAGACATGCTGGCAGCTTGTGTCTCGTCGGTTCAGTGCACCTCTATTTAATTGGACGTCATCTTGCAGTCCGAAATGTGGAAAATCGTTGGTGGAAGCAACAAGAAAGTTAAACGAAATGAAGGACACGGTCAACTTCATTCATAGTTTGTTTACGTGCCACGAGCTTATCTACTCTTGACCGATCCAATCCGTGAAGCGCTGCGCGTGATATGCAGCCGATAGCGCCCCGAGAGACGCAACTGTTACCGGAAGCGGCTTCCTGCTGCGTATGGCACGCGCCCCCATGCTGCCCATGGTAATCGTGGACGCAAGCAGAGCCACGCCGTGACCATTGACCATCTCGCCCTTCTGTAGAAGATATCCAGCCATGCCGAAGCCTGCACCAAGCGTCAAACCTGCCACCAATGATGGGACGCTCTTGGTCTTGAGGTAGCCGAAGACGCCGCCGCTTGCCAGCAACGCAGCCATCGTGTACGTAGGGTGTTGAGCCATTGTTTGTGATTTCGGAAAGTGCGGTGGTCGCGAACAAGATAGCTTCGGTGGACCACCTGAAGTGCAGAAGTTTTGCTGATTTTGTCACTTTCTTAGAACCAGTATCGACTCGATTACCAACAAGCTAATGGTAAACGTTAGCAGATCTCTCTGCTCATAGATTACCTAAAAGACAGGACCAAACCGACGTCTACGATTCGCACAGTCTCAGCAACAGTGTTTTAGATGTCAAACGAGTGAAGTCCGGGCGAAGCAAGTAGTCATGCGAAGGCCGCCCATTTTCTATCGTTCCTCTTCCTCTCCAGCGTACGCTTTGTCACGACCACGGCTTTTGCAGAAGAAACCGAAGTCACACAACGACTTGGCCTCAAACAGTCAAATCCGTTTAGCAGACATCAATTACCAGGTGCTCTTCGGATGGAATGAAGCTAATCATTCAGTTCCAGTTATGCCACATCATGCGTAGATTAAACCAACACATACCTGCATCCTGGCTTTTTGGATAATTGCACGCACAAGCAGAAGCACATAGCTGTGCAAAATAGACAAAGGTCATGTCAACGCAGACGTACTTTTCGTTTGACACTCCTGGTGGGCGTTTTGCGGTACCTAGTCGATATGATTCATACGAAGAAGCAAAAGTGTTTGTGACTTTATAAACACGTCAAAGGAATTGTTGACAAATGAGTCCATCGACGACGCGACTCGTGAACCGACCGCATCAGGCATTCCATTAGGTCAGGAGCAAGTGCTTGAGCATACGTAGTATGCGCGTGGAGGTTCGGTCTGGCGCAGACTACGTTACAAATTGAATGCACTTGGAATGGCACGAGCTTGAGAAAGCAGCGTTTGAGATTGGCTGCATGCCAGCAGCTCGTTTCGTACTGCATGACAAGCATTATAATGTAGTGAACTAGCTAAGCAGCACCGAGCGCATGCAAAAAGGATCATACCTGTCAGTTCAGGTGACTAATAGTTCTAGCGTTCTAGATGCTGCCGGACGGCCCTCAACAACCTTTCTAGCTGCCACTCAGGTCCAACCTCGGACCTCTCTTTTGCATTGCTGTAGCCACCTCCGCACCGTCCAGGCACAAGCCGCACAGTATTTATCGTTTCGAGCTGATGTTTTCAATGATGCTGACCGAAATGACTGCGAACAATCCCCTGAATTGCCATCGTGCGCCTTTTTTGCATGTCCAAAGAATTCGACCGCAGTCTCCGAGTGATCGTGATCGAATTCCGTCATGCGAGTGCGTCATGGGTTTGTGGTCGCCTACCGCAGCGGCACCAAGATTTACGTTCTCCAGAATGGACCGACAGCTTACTACGGTGCGTGCAACACCACTCATGTCTTGGTCTTCCTACTACACACGTCTTCCCCACGCGAAAGAGGCTCGACATCAATACGAAGCAGGTCAACACAAAAAGAACTACGAGAAAAAGACTTGATACTTATAATCAATCATACAAACGAACAGCTACACTTGCAAACTCCCTGGTCATTCAGCCCGTCGTCCTTAATCGTAGCTGCTACGTACGGGCGGAGCGCCTGGAATGTAGCGCATCTTGCGGGGCGGGTTGCACAGCTGATGCACGTGGTAACCTGCCGACATGGCGCCTGCCGTGGCGATCAGAGCCGGGACGCGCTTTCCCGTGAGAGCTGCGCGTCGGCCCATGACGCTTGTGATGATGCCCGACATGGTCAGCGACGTGCCGTGCTCGAAGTGGTGGTCCGTGATCGTGTCCGTTAGGACGAGCATCCCAGCGCCTAGAAACCCCACACCTAAAAGCACACCGGCTACGAGCGACGGGGTGTGGCGCTTGGCCACATAGCCAGCACCGCCGGCTAGACTCAGGACCGTGGCAAACGTGAAAGCTTGATGTTGACCTCCTGGCATTCTTTCGATGAAATGATCCCTTCAGTTGTCGTGTCCTTCGTGACCTTTTGGAAAGTAATTGTGAGAAAAGACGGGCGAGGCGAGTGTGGTGCTGAGACTCGCCTGCCAATTCAACAATAACGTTTGTTTGTAACTCCACTTCTGATTCGTCAAGGCCGTTTCAAATACCGCTTTATTTGATCCCGTCGTCTGGCTCTTTACTTGGAGCGCATAATGTGGCGCAGCTCCACGCCAAGGATCTCCGTCACCTTGAGCTGCATCTTGGCCATTTCCTGGCACGCACAAGCTTCTTCCACTTCCGGTAGAAAACGGCAGCATGCCGCCGCTCGTTCAAAATGCTCGAACGCTTCGCTCGTGCGACCCTGTGCAAAAAGCACTTGGGCAATGTCCAAATGGGCGGAACTGCAGCGCGGGTCGACTGTGAGTGCTTGTTGAAAGTGTGCGATGGCTCGCATGGGGTCGTTCGTGCTCACGTACACGCGACCAGCATTCAGGAACGGCAGTGGACACTGCGGGGACAACTCCCAGGCAGTCAAAAAGTGGCGCATGGCGTCGGCGTAATTTCCTTGATCCGCCTCCACTTCGCCATGGAAGAGATGCACTTCAGCCGAGTCGGGAAACTTCTTGGAGGCCTCTTTGAACAAGTCGTTCGCCTGGTACGTCGATCCGCTCTTGTAGAGAGCCATGCCATAGGACACATACGTGACCGGCAGTGTGTCCGACCGCGAGATACAGCGACGAAGAGATTGCACAGCTTCGGTGTACTTGCCGTCGAGTAGCTTCATCTGTCCATAATGCAGATGCACGTCTGCTTCATTCAACTCAAGATCCATGGCCATCGTAAAGCAGGATGTCGCCTCGCCCGGGTCGCCAAGTTCTGCCAGGAACCCGCCTTTTTTTACCAGAGAGTTTACCAAGGTCGGCTGGAGTTCCAAGCTTTGGTCGATAACCTCCACTGCAGTGTGCACGTCACCAGCAACGTACAGCAGTGACGCATACAAGTTGAATGCCAATGCCCGATCTTCCACCGAAAGTCCCTCGGCCTCCATGTCCCTAGAAACCAACGCCTCAATGTCGTGCTGGACGTTTTTGAAATCCTTACGCCGCTTGAAGTGAACCGCACGATAAAGGAGCGTCTGTCCGTCCAACTCTGCTTGCTCCACGTCTTCCTTTTTCTCAATATCGATCGGTAGACGTGCAGCATGATCAACATCGTGTTCAAACGACTCGAAATAGCTGTTTACCAGCCATTGAGATGGCAGGTTGTGCATTTTTTCCATTTTGGCGAATAGATCCTTTGCCACACGTCGACCCACGAGACGCGACGTGCGGTCAATCGATTCGGCGAGCTCTAGCGAGCGTGAGCCATCGAGGATAAAGGACGTCACATAGTGCTGCATCGCTGCTTCAATGTGCTCGGTCTCCTCCTCAACAATACCCAGACATTCGTAGGCACCGATACTGTATGGGTTCAGCTTCAACGCAATAAATGCCTCGGTCTTTGCACGAGCCACTTCTTTCATATCGAGGAGGGACCTGGCCCGTCCTACCACGGCATGTTCAAGCTCTTTGTGATACAACGGAAGGTGACTGAAGGCCTTGGAGTATGCCTCAAGAGCAGCTTGGTAGTTTCCTGACCTTCTGCGGATGTCACCATCCACCACGGCTTCACGGACATCTACTAACTTGTCAGCCAGAGAAATATCTGACTTCAATGGGCGGGCGAGGAAGTGCTTGAGCACGTACACGGACTTTTCCGCTTCAGCTACACGATCGGCCAGCTGCTCACGCTTTTCACTATCAACTGTCTCGCATAAAGCTTGAAACTCGATCTGACTGATTCCGTCGATGCCATCCTTGATAACATCCCACGAAGCTTCTGCTATGGCCTGGATGAGCGACTTGATCTGCAACGTACTCAGCTTCTTGTGGGATGCGACCACGTCTCGCGGGATGAAACCAAGCGAGTACACAACGCTCGGATACATGTACTTCCAGCTCTCTGCAAGTCCGGATTCTACACGTTCGAACCGTTCCCGGCCAGATAAGCTCTTGATCGTCCGTCGACTATCGGATCCTGAACCAGTGGCTCCATCCTCGTCGACGCTGAATTCGTTCTTGACAGCAGGTCGATCTTCCGTCTCAGCTATGGCTCTGTCGTCATTCACATTCCGCGCATTCGTCGTATCGTCCTCTACACTAGACTCATCTTCGTTGCTTGGGAGTTCATTTTCAAATACAACTCCTTCTTTAGTGATAGCCTCTGCCTTATTAGCAACATCTTCAGCTTCTTCAGGTGTCTTGTCCTGCTTGTCGGTATCTTCGCTACTCGTGTCTTCTTCCGAGTAGGCTTTGCTTTCTTTACACACCTCGTCAGTCTCTTCTTCGCCTAACTCCTCCTCATCGAGGCTGTCTACTTGTTCACGACTGATCTGAGGTTCAAAATCCTCTTCGCCACTAGACTCACCTTCTTCGCCCTCGTCCACGCTGTCACAAGCCCAAGGTGTACGTTGGCTAACTAGATCGCGCATCTTCTGTCCTAATTTTGTTGCGAGATTGAGGACATACTCGTCGCTAACGTCTGGTATTTCTACCACAGTTGGCGGGGTGTACAAGACGTCCCACAGATCGTTAATTGCCTTCAGCTGCTCCATGCATTCGTTGTCACGCTTCTTTTCCACCCACTTGTGCACGCTCATAGCCATCGAGCCTTCAGTGAGTTCTTTTTGCTGGTAGATGAGATCCGAACATACCTCGACTACATCTTGGAAAAGGGACCCGCATTGTGTCTTCACCTCTTGCGACGAGCGCTTTCTGCGCAGCGACGCAGGAAAGCCAAACGGCGCTAGCACAAAGGAGACCACACGATAGATCGTTCGTGACGCATCCAAGAACTCATCTTTGCTGACAGGATGTGGCATGTCAAAAAATCGGTGTCCATCCTGAATCCACACGACGTCCGACACCTTCTCTTCCTTTTCTTCATTTCTAGCAGTAGCTTCTTGATCTTTTCTTGTTATCTCGATCAGCTTTTCTTTGTACGCTTTTTCGAGTTCCGCCACCGCTGTTTTATCAATACCCTCTGTCATGCGTGCATCATTTTGTTGTATCGAGAGATCAAACTCACCCTTGTCATCTTTATAAAGCAATCCGCCTCCGTGGAAAATCTCCGACGTATACGACACAGGAAACAATGCCACTAGCTCGTCACGCAGGGCGTCGATGCAAAACGCAAGCCAAGTGCGTTGTCCTGCAACTAACAATGCAGTCGCAACTGCAGCAGCTTCAGCCGGCACGCTCGCGACGACAGCAACGGGGTTCGCCAGGTCGATGCCATTCATCTCGAATAAAGACCGCAGCTCGTTTACAGGCAATAAAAACGATCGCTCTCTAGGATTTTCAACCATAACACCTCCAACATCCTTCGTCTCCTCAACAGCATCGCTTTGTGCGGTAAATATACTTGCAAACGGCACATTTTTTGCACCCTTCAGGTGTCCAGATACCTCCTTGCCACTAACAAGACCTAGGAACGCTTCCTGTTCTCGACAATCCAAGATCTGCACCATCTCGCCATTCTCCTGCTGTAGCACTTCCTTAACAAATGCCGCAGCATCCAGCACTTTCACCGCACCAACTTCTGGATCCTGAAGTGACATCCCGGCTCTATTTAGCATTTCAGCTAGTGAGTAGCGCGTACCTGCTGCAGAATTGCTTACAGAAACCAAGACACTGCTCTCCTCAACCACCTGCAGCGTCCAATATAGCATACTGGCCACCGCCAACTGCTGTTTCGTGTCTGTAAATCCAGCAAGTCTACAGTTCTTGGCTTCTTCACTATAGGTCACTGATTTGAGGCCACAGGTCTTCGCTACGCGCTGTACACACGTTGCACCATCAGGAGAGACTTCCGGCTCGCCTGAGACGTGCACAGAGAGCTGATCGAGCACCCTGTCCATGCAGGAGAGAGGTTCAGAGACACTGAATCAAGTGAATGAAGCTATGAGAAGCTTCTGACGCAGCCAGTGGCTACAATTTGAGCGTTCAAGCGCTCGCGACGTCCAAGTCACGTCCGTTGATAGCAGCGAACCAACTAAAACCGCGACTTGATGTGTGATAGTGTGTGTGTGCCACACCATAATCGCTCACGTCACACGTAACCTGCTGAGAAATTGGTGCGAAAGCCATGCTCTACTCGTTCTACATTTACACGCGCAGTGGGTCGTGTTTGTACCAGGAAAAGTGGAAGGTAGCAGGTAGTAAGAGCGTGACGTATGTGAACCCGGAAGAAGAGAAGCGTTTGCTCTTTGGTCTTCTTTTCTCGCTCAAGGAATTTGTCGCGAAGGTCGCCCCCACGACTTCCAGTGCGGATGCTGGAGCAGCGGTATCTGAAGCAGCGATTGCACCCAATGGAATGCAGAGGTACCAGACGAACACGTACACGTGCCACCAGTACGAGACGCCTAGCGGCCTTCGATTTGTCATGATGACGGACAACCGGGCGGGGGACATGAGCGCTATACTCCGGTATATCTACGCACAGATCTACGTGGAGACGGTGGCGAGCAACCCGTTGAGCGATACCAAGAGTGGTAAGCCGATCACTAGTCAACTGTTTCGGGCACGCCTGACGCAGTATCTGGAGAGCCAACCGTTCTTCCGGTAGTTGGGTACTACTGCAGCAGTAGCGAGTGGCTGGTAATAGCGAGCATGAAAAGTTCAACCGGTTTTGTGTGCTACGAAGGACCGTGCAGCTGGAAGGTCTTTTGCACTGGAATGTAGTAAGCTTGGATTATAATCTAGCATGCGTGTAACACACGGTGACTCGTAAACGCTTCTGAAGCTACTACCCCAGCTTCAGTGTGTCCTAGAGCTAGACATGTTGCTGGTATTACCGCGTTGAGGTCAAGGAGTTGCTGGCCGAATGAAAGCTAGAAAGGCGAGGAACAAAAGCTCAGGTTCAATCTTTTTATTCATTGCTTTTGTCGTAGCGGCGGGATCTCGAAAAGTAATGGATCTCTTCGTCTACATCGCGACTGTAGTAGAGTCCCGGCACATGTCAGGTCATGACATACGCCAGGTCTAGCGAAAGAGCGGTATTGCCACAAGCCCTCACGTAGTGGCGGCAGCAATGTACATGCTTGCTGGATCAGCCAATACTTCCGATACAAAAACACTTTCCTGGAAAACAGCAACCAGGAGGTCACGACACGATGCCTTGTGCAACCAATTGCCAATTGTAGTGATAAACGCACATATGCCACCGAATGGAACGAACCGTGGCACTGCATTCTGGTGGCATCGGGCTTGACCTCGGCCGCATCGTCTGGACCACGTCCTCAGTGGTGAGAAATTACTACCACTGGAAACATGACCATTTTTAAACCCGGGCGACCGATGCGGCAATGTTTTGTAAGCGCATGGCATTTTCACTGTCATGATTTAGAGCGGTCGTGAAGAAAGGATACTATACTGTGTTGCATTTTCTGAGCAAAGGCCCTGGCGATGGCGAAATCAAGTCGGCGTGAATCATCAATTGATGCTGTTATCGTAGTGGAAAGCCATCCCGTCGGCTCGTTTGTTCCAGATTAAGAAGAAAGTCGAGTTTGTCGGCTTCTATCTGGGACCATTTAGCATCTCGGTGCTGGACGAAAGTAGGTCAACGACATAGCGTGCTTGATCGATTTCACTTCCAAGCGCACCTTTATTTGCGTGAAAAAAGTAGACACACATGAAAGGTAGAGTCGCCCACGCACACAGGTGCTGCATAACGACGCTGTACTGGTGATTTAACGCGGTCAGAACGCTAAAAGCAGTCCGAGTGGAAGATGTTCTTTCGATGTCATGCACGTGCTCGAACAACTTTGAGCAATCAGCCGCGTGGCAGTATATTCATCTCATGCTTCACATCTTCTGATAATGCTATTGTAGCGATCACCTCCGAAGCCGCACACAAAACTGTCTTACACCTCTTCTCACGAAAACTACAAATACGTTCTAGTAGTGAACGCTAATGACAGGATTTATGGGCCCAGCCGTGATTCGGAGAGCTCAAGGTTGCAGTTTGGTATTCGATGGATTGAACGCTCCAGCGTGTTCTGCAACCATTTTCGAAGGAGGATAAAATGTCACGCAGACTGCATACAAAGCCATCGAATACCGCTACGTGTACCCATCATCAATGCACTTGCACACACGTTTTACACGCAATGGCTGCGACGTAAGCGATGCATTGTTTTCGCTGTGCATAAACATTAGTTTAGGTTGTTGTGCACCCATTCTTTTACGGTTGCGTACCTTCTTGAGAACCTGCATCAGCTTTGAAGCATCCAGCGTTTACACTCCAAAATTGCGGCAAAAGCGACCGCATGCCAGCTCATCAAAATCGCAGTCTGCACAGTTGCTCGGATGTGCGGGTCAATCGCGCTCTACAACTCCAAGCTGCTCAGCTGAGTAACTGTTGATCTATCGGTTTCACTTGCACTGAGGCGACATCTGGATATACTGTCTGCTTCTATTCCAATTTGCTGAGGTCAGTCGTACGAATATCCTGCTGCTTGCAACCTATGCATTCATCTTTGCTGGTCTTCGCGATATGCAGTTGGGCGCAGCAAGTGCGAACAATTGAGAGCTGAGCCACGCACATTGGCTGCGATTCTTCCTTTTTGATCACATACAGACTTTACCAGATGCTCAGCCCAAGTTTTTCGTATTCGAGTTCATCTCCGTTGCAGCGTCTTTGCTGCGTGAGAAACGTACGACTCCCGGTCCAGAAACACAGCTCTAAGAACGGCTCTGATCCCCGTTGTGGTCTCGTCTCTTCGAACAATACCAAAAAAGTAAGCACACGAGAACACCAGATAAGAATCCACCCGCGCAAAATCTTCTGGCGTATCCGCTCGAACTACAGATGGATACCCACAGCGCGCTCGGCCATCTTTTCTTCTACACGTCCGTAGCGTTTCTACCAGTGAGCATGAGACCTCGCGTTTGGCACGATCCGCATATTGCAACGATCCGCATATTGCATCGATCGATTCGCATTACTTGCTGGGAGTGCCAGCTGTGGTGGGTCGACTTGGCTCTTCTCTCTGCTGTCCAAAGTCGGAAGACATGCGTCTTGTCCACCTGTTCTCAGCTGTTGAATAGTGGTCACCCGCTACAACCCACCGGAAATGTACATATTTAGTTTGCCAATACAAATGCGAGTAAGCTGCTCCTTGTCTGCTACGCTTGCAGCACGATCCACCGCATTCGTCATCGATAAAGGTGTGGGCGTGGATCGACGACATGCAAGTCCGGCACGACATCGAGGTAACTGCGACGCTACAATCACTCCGCGCACCTGTTTGGCATACAAATTCTCAGTGTGATGTCAAGTGCCTGTTACGCGCCCATCGTATTAAGAACTCTCTCGAACGCTATTTCTAGAGCAACTCGGCAGACGGACGTTTGCCGGTCTGGTGAAAAAGAAATCAGAACCTTCATTAACATCCGGTTTTAATAGGTGCCGCCACATGTCCCGCCTATCTTGGCACTTGATGGACGCTCGGTCGGTCGTTACGGCACATCTCTTTGTCAAGAACGTCCAATCACTACTCGTCGAGTGCTCCTCATAGTCGCGCCGCCGCTTTCGCTTCCTCACTTCCGCATTTGCTCCATCAAGCTCCGACAATTGCAACAACCTCGTTCCGATACATCAACAATGGTAAACGGCCTTCTTCTCTCGTGTTTCGCACTCACGGCACTGCCATCCGTTGCGTTCGACCCGAACGCACCAATTGCGGCAGCCGTAGACGGTGTGAATTCCGCGGCCACCTCGACTGGCAGTTGGGTCAGTGGTGCCGCCGAACAGGTTTCGAATGCGACGGTGCCTGACTTGGAAGCGGCCGGTAGCTGGATCGGCGACGCTTTTGACACGGTCAAGAACGAGTCGAAAGAAGCTGCAAACTCGACGGGCAGCTGGGTCGATGGAGCCGTTGGTTCCGTCGAGGATAACGCGGCCCCAGCAGTTGATTATGCTGGCAGCGTGATTGACAACGCCCAGGATGCCGTCAGCTCAGCAGCTGACGAATTTCCCAGCATTGTCGATAACGACGATGGGTCTTCCGGTCCTTCTGCTTCTGGCTCGGCAGCTGGCAGCACCGCCGTTTCTTCTGCCACATCGTCCACTACATTTTCGATGGTTATTGGCGTTTTTGCAGTTGCAGGACTGATGACGAACTTTGCCTAAGCTAGCGACGCGCAGTCGTGTGCGGCAAGGAGCGCGTCGCACGTGACCTTAACTTTACTCATCTAATACATCGAATTCCACCTATACTTTGAAATGGATACATCAAATTGTTGCATACGTTTTCGAGCGACGTTTCTAGGTGACAAACTCGTCTGAATGGTGATTGGCCAATAGTATCAGGAGCGTTGGAGCTCATTAGCATTGCAAATGTGGAGACGTTTCGGGTGTGCGGCCGTTCGCCGTGGCGGCGTGCGACTTCTGTCGAGCAGCAAGACAAATGCCATCCCCCACCAGCGGATCGTTAGAAGATCTCTTACATCTGCTTACGCAGTCGCTGGCGTTGGTTTAGCGGTTGTAGCAGTTATCAGCTATGACGGACGACGTGAGTATTCGATAGCCTGTTGCAAGCAATTGGTTCACTTTGTAACGGCCGCGTGTTTGTGACGATTGTAGAGCAAGCGGTGAGTCTAGAAGCACGTCCAGAAGTGAAGAACGTCTTGACGCGAAACTTTATCGCTGATGCTGTCGAGAAAGCCTTTCCAGCTGTAGTCAACATTTCTGTGGACTCAGGTATGTCTGGCGGTTCTCTTTTGTTTCGCTCTTTGTTATTGCTTTCTTGTGTGCGTAGTCTACAGACGTGCTGAGTTGATGATAATATGGACGCAGGTTACATCGGCAGCAATGGTTCGGGGTTCATCATCACGAAGGAAGGTTTGATCGTAACAAACGCTCACGTTGTTGCGCGATGCAATCGTTACTCCAAAATTCAGGTACGTCCCTACTATCAGGCGCTCTTTCGCATGACCCAATTTCTGGGAGCAAACTGCTGATTACTATGCTCTCAAGGTGACGGTCGCAAATGGCAGCACGTATCCTGCTGTGATCCACAGCGCGGATCCTCTTTCAGATATCGCTCTTCTCCAGATACAGTCGGACGAAGTTGAAGAGTGGCCTATGATTTCGATCGGATCGTCGACTGAGCTGCGTGCGGGCGAATGGGTGTGCGCTCTCGGTAGTCCGTTCTCTTTGCAAAATAGTGTTAGCGCTGGCATAATCAGTGCTGTTGCTCGCCACAGCAGCGAGCTGGGGTACCCACAGAGAGGTGGCGAATACATCCAGACGGATGCGGCTATCAATGCTGGAAATTCTGGTGGTCCGCTCATCAATCTGGACGGCAAAGTGATTGGTATCAACACAATGAAAGTGGACGGCAGCGTGGGCATCTCCTTTGCCATTCCAGCGGATACGGCAGTGCAGGTGATTCAGCAGCTGCGCAAGCATAGGAAAGTCGTGCGCCCGTACATTGGCATGCAGATGATCAACTTTAGCGCGCGAGAACTGAGAGAGATCGGTCGGATGTTCCCTGGTGTGAAGGAAGGTGTGATTGTCAAGTCGGTCGTCCCTGGTTCGCCTGCCCAAAAAGGAGGTTTACTGCCTGGCGACGTGATTGTCTCGTTTGATGGGAAGAAGGTTCTAAGCACCAAGGACATTTTGACCACGGTGGGCTATAACATCGGGCGTCACATTCCTGTACAGGTGAAGCGCCGAGGGGAGAAGGACCTTGTTGAGCTGCAGGTCACGACTGAACCTCTGCCTGCTCCAGTGCAGCAGTTCAGGGGCTAAAGATGATGCGAAGTGCTGACAAATTGGTTGATTCAAAAGCGCAACTTTGCCGCATAAAGACAGCGTTCGCGTATGCGTCAACGTTTTTAGCAGGAGAAGCTACGTTGTTTGATCGGGGTGGGCAAGTAAAAAGTTTTTTTTTTAAATCAACTGTACGATGGAGTGGTTCGGCTTAGGAATTTATGAATTTTGCGAGGTGTGGTAGAGTAGGAATAACAGGGAACATTATGACCAAAAAGGCTTATCGACTATCGCAGGTCATTCGCTGAGCCGGATCGGAAGTACCACCACGAGCCGTACCATGATACGTCTGACCCTCCGAAGTGTCGCGCAATAGGCACACATTAGGTACGTCGTACTTATCATTCGTCAAAATTGTGACCACCCAATTTTTTTTTACTCAGCGTTGTACGTCGCCTTGAGGCAGTTGGCCAATACGTTCATTGCAACGGGGTAGTGTTACGGGGCACCCTTTGTTTGGGGTGCCGCGAAACTTCACGTACACTAGTACGTGCAGAGGAAGCTAATCTACTTGAACGACTTGGTCAAGTAAAGGTAAAACGAGAACTGTGTTTAATATAGTTAAGCTATCAATATAACTTTACTCTTTATCTAACTATATTAAACTACGCCGTTGTATGACGACAACCTGCTCACCACTCATTGCGCGCGTCTAGCAGCGATTGGTGGCAATCTATGGTTGATACGTCTTATAACTACCAATCTTGGAGCAGCGCATGAATTTTATCCAAAAAGGGAAAACATTATTTCAACATTATCCACCTCGGATAATGTCGGTAGAATATTGTCATGCTAGACAATATTCCTATTGATACCGTTTGGTGTCAATATCATGTAACGGGCTACCCCGTTACATCCCCCTCCTTCTTAACCATCAATCACCCGTTGATTGAATTAGAATTGATTGGGACAGGGTGACCACCGTTGGATCACTCTGGGAAAGGGAGCACTTGTTGGTCAAATTCCATTCATTTGCCAATCCGACGCATGGTTTTTAAAACCACGCGAGCTGCTACTGCAGCAGCAAGAAGAGCGGCTGCACGCATGCGTGTGGCCGCGGAAAGTACCGCTCACACCTCAGCAGCAGGCGATTCGTCGCCTGTTTTCGTGAATCCTCCACGTGGTGAGTCACTACGTGCGACAGGTACATCCGTTGCGTCTGCAGCGGGTACCTCGGGTCGTAATCAAGACGAGTCTGAGATAGAGCTCATCTATTCTGGCGAGTCGGATGATGCATCCGACTCGAAGGCGACTCCTCACGCCTCTGGATCACCCGGGGCGGACGCTGCAAGAGCCAGGTTGACTGGGTCTGTCTAACGCGGCGGTATTATGACCGAGATCTTTGGATCGAGTGATTATTCCGATGAATCTCCGCTTCACGCAAGTCCATCCAACGATAGGACGCGTGGGGATGGTGGTGATGCACCTATACATCACCACGAACGAAGTAGCTCAAGGGATTGGGGTTACGCTGGTGCAAGTGCTCATGCTGGCACCAATTAAGAGGCCAGGGACCGGAATGTCATGCGCTGCGCTTCCAAGCGGAGTCTTCGTGGATGCCGCCATCCAGAGAGTTGGACCGATTGGACGACACGACTACAGAACGGGATCGAATCCCGTTGTTCGACTGCAGGAAGATTTCCCCACCTAATTCCAGCACGGAAACTATCCGTGCTGAAGAAGAGTTCTTCACCGATGTGGTCATCAAACATCGGTGGTAAAATGGTAGCCGTGTTCGGGACGGTAAAGCCTTGGTGCGGGGATGGAATGCCCTCATCCACAACATCGAGTGCATTGGCCGGGTGAGGCCTGGCTCGCCAAACTTGATGCAGCTCGCATCAGGTTTGAGAAGCGCAACCCAGTCGGGGCGCGATACAAGTTGCAACGGCTGTCAAGAGAGGCAGGATTACCCTGTCTCTCGTGGGGTGATTCGTGTCCAGGTTGCCTTGAAAACTCGAACCATGCCCCTAGGGAGGCCTCCCTCCCTAATGATCCCTACTGGAGGGCGCGCATCTCTTCTGAGATGGCCGAAGGAATTGACACCTTTCGATTCCTGTACTCGCGTTCGGGGAGGTCATTTTGCGACGGCCCTTCTTCGAACGCAGCGGTTTAGTCTCGTCGTACTGCTCGACGAGACCAAGGACATCAACAATCAGCTGGGCACGAGGTCCCCAGCCGTTTCTCGCCAGTGGATAGCCACGCCAGCGGACGATAGAACTCTTTCGGACGCCATTCACATCGCGGTGGTTCAAAATACGCTCCACTAGGCGTTGTTGACCTCCGCTTGAGTCCCCCAAAGGATGTGGTGGAGGTGGGAACACCTGATCCGGCTCGAGGGTAGGATCAGCTTGATGTTCAAGAGCTGAACCGTGTAACGGAACAGTTGCAAGATGACCTGGCTCATGAACGGACTCGGCGTTATGTGCTTGAGTATCTTGTAAGGGATAATTACAATTCCCTAACGCACGATCGTTCGGACGATCGTGCCTCTTTTGCGTTCGCACAACTTGAGAACGAACGTTTGACTCGTTCTCTTCGTGACGAGCTGGCTGTAGCTCGTCGAGACATCGCTGAACTGCGTGAACATGTCGCTTCTCTAGTCGACCAGACTGGCTCGTCGAAACGGGGCCACTCGAAGGTGGTCTCGGCTCCCGACCGCGGAGGCATTCTTCGCATCTCGAAACAGGCTCGTACTGATAGTACGGGCGGAGACGTCCAGCGTAGAACGTAGGATGCGTACGCATCCTATAAGGCAGTTCGATCGTGTATACGTTGCCCATTCGGCGTAACACACGAAATGGACCGATGTACCTGGGCAGTAATTTACTGCTGCCCACGTTTGTCACTGCGTGTTTCGGTAATTTTACTGTAGACAGTAAAAATAAGTCTCCTTCATTAAATGAACGAAAATTTGCTCTTCCATGTTTGTCTGCATTTCTCTTCTGTCTGTCTAATGCATCTGCAATAGAGTCTTGAATGAAGCGGACAACCGCTTCGCGAGTCAGCAGAAATTCCTCTGCTGATTCATCTTTGTCAACAGCAGTGCGCTTCGTGTGCACTGCTGAAAGAACGTTGTCTTCACCAGTGAGGGTGTCATCGTCCTCACTTTGGCGGTCATTGGCGATGCTGAATATGCCAGCATCGTCGTCATCGTCATCATTGATATCGATCCCATCGACAACTGCATCCATCACGTCGACACCATTGTCGACGGGTGATGAGCAAGAACCAGATCGGTTTTTGTTCAAGCGAGTCCACCCCCCTTAAACTAGAGTCAAACTCTAAGAAGGCGGGTAAACGTGGATGGCGATGGCCATTCACGAAGAACGGTGTATGCGTTGTAGACGCGTGCACCGAGTTGTTGATGGCGAATTCAGCCATCTGCAAAAATCACTCCAGCTCGTAAACAAGTGGACATATCCTCGAAGTAACTTTTCGAGGACGCGGTTGACGAGTTCCGTCTGACCATCTGTTTCTGGATGGTCAGAAGTCGACATCGTCAAACGAGTTCCAAGTGAACGGAACATGGATTGCCAGAGCTCTGTCGTAAAGCGGGGGTACCAATCAGACACGAGTTCACGGGGTAGCCCGTGCAGTCGGACTATTGTATCAATGAAGACAAGCGCACAGCCCAGGGCTGTGATTGACTACGGTAAAGCAACAAGACGTACCATCTTGCTGAACCGATCAACAAACACAAGAATACTAGTATTCTTGTGAACGTCTTTGGGAAACCCGAAGACGAAGTCCATCGATAACGACTGCCAAAACTCTGCCGGAATCGGAAGAGACTGTAAGGGTGTGTGGGATGAAGCACTAGGCTTCACGTCAGCAAAATTAGCAAGCGCGAATGTGTATGCGCACAAACTCATAATGGCGGTGCCAGTAAAAGAAACGACTCACGGTGAGGTAAGTCTTTTCTCTACCGCGATGCCCACTTGTTGGGGCAACGTGACACTCATATATGATGCGCAATCGCAAATCATTATGAGCCGGAACAACGACACGAGGTGTGTCGCCGTTGACTGCTGTATAGTACAGCAGTCCATCACGAACAGAATAGCGTTCGGTTGAAGAGCGGTATTGAGACGACAAGCTTTTCAAAGCTTGACTGCATGGATTGGATACATAATCCTTCAATTGCAGAAGATACTCATCTTCTGCGTATGCTTTTCGCACATCGTCGAGCAGATTCGACGGCGGAACACTCACTGTTAGTGTCGCGACTGTGGGATATCTCCTACTGTTGGGTTGAGCAGTCGGCTCAAAATCGGGCCGACGCGAAAGAGCATCAGCGACGACATTAAGTCTCCCTGGTTTATACGAGACGGATATGTTGTACTCCGCTAAGAAAGACAGCCATATCGCCATTCGCTGCGAGAGGTGTGGACTGTTTACGGCCGTGCGTAATGACGCATGTTCGGTATAAACGATGAAGAGCCTATCTCCTAAGAGATATACCCGAAACTTGGTCAGTGCATATTGAGGCAAGGAGTTCCTTGTCATGCACTGGATAGTTCCGCTCAGCTGGTTGCAGCTGACGCGACTGATAGCAGACGACGCGTTCAACGCCTTCAAGATCGTCTGCATTTTTGCACAGCCGATTGCGAAATCGCTGGCATCACAGACCACATGAAATGGCCTGTCCTGATCGGCTATTGCTAGGACTGGGGATTGTATCAAGCTCTGCTTGATACCATCAAAGGAGCGCTGACATTCAGCGTTCCATAACCACCTCTCGTTCTTTTTCAACAAACGAGAGAGGTGTACAGTCATCTCGGCGTAATCGCGTGAATACTTATGCAAATACGCCGCTAGCCCAAGGAATTTTCGAAGACCTTTGACATCAACTGGCACAGGCCAGTCGGTGATCGCCTTGATCTTTTCGGGATCAGGACGTATACCGTTCTTACCAACGATGCACGCAAGAAGTGGGATTTCGCTTGCTGCAAATATACACTTCTTGAGGTTTGCATACATTTGATGCTTTCGCATGATTGTAAGAACCTGTCGGACGTGGTATCTGTGAACCTCAACGTCCGACTTTCCTTCCATAGCTCGACTATGGATGAATACGTCATCGAAATAACTCGGCGTGAATTCTCGTACTGGTCTCAACAGATGTGATATACATCTGTTGAACGTGGCAGGGGCATTACTAAGCCCTTGTGGCATTACTAGCCACTCACAGAGCATGCCGCTAGGCGTGCTAACTGCGGTATAGGGTATATCCCGTTCTCTCATCAGGATTTGATAGAAGCCATCCATCAAATCCATGGACGAAAAGATGGTACTCTTTGACATACCATCAATGATTACGTCCTTCCTCGGTATCGGCGTCTGAGCCGGTACCGTTGCAGCATTCAACTTGTTAAATGCATGCACTATTCGCCACCCTCCTGTTGCTTTTCGCACACAGAAGGTCGGAGAGCTATGTGGGGAAGTTGATTCCCTCACATGGCCAGCCGCTAAACGATCGGCAAGAACTTGTCGATCGCTGTGACCTGTTCACGAGGCAGTGGCCACTGCTTCATGACACAGTACTTCGAGACTGGTTTAAGCTCGACCTCGTGTCGAATACCTTTATCTTTCGGTAATTCGCACGGAACAGTTTCAGGAAATACATCCTTGAATTCAACCAAATCTTCATAGAGAGGATTTGTCTTGAGCGGTTCCCACGATTGGGATTCGTATCGCTCAACTCGTGTCTTTTCATCTAGGACACTCTCGTCCATAGATGAACTACTGAGGACCCGTTCATTCTCAGCAAACACTGTTGCTGACCTTATGTCGGCTACACACTCGTCGTCAGCGACGAGTACGCAGATCTGCTTGACTTTGCCACTACGCAGATCATGCAAGAACCTTTTATGTTCTAGCGTTGGCAACTGGGTGATCTCCGAAGTCAACTTCGGAGGCGCAATCAGATCGAGTGTATAAGCGCCTACACTCGATACGTCATTCACCAAGACATTCACTGTCTCGGTGATTTCCTGGGAAAACACATCCGCAAGTGGTTGGGGATCCACACCCTCAACGTAACTCTCTCGGGAGTTGTTGCTCTCAGGAACGCCGAAATATCTTCCGTTACGTGTACTATCACGGTCACGTCTTCTTCGATCGGCACTCTTTCAGTCGATCGGGCTTGCTCTACGATCGAATCTCTGATATACGATCTCGCTTTAACGTGTTGTCCATCCTGAACAACACAAATCTCTCTTCTCGGATGCAACCTTCTTGGTGTGCATCCTTGTTCCAGTCCACTCGATCTATTCGAGTGGTGAACCTTCGGCGCAGCTTGTGTCTCTACCCAGGTGCCGGAAGCTGGTTCCACAGTGCAGTAGCCTTCTACACTGTGATCTTGTGCAGTCATACTAACGACCGTACCACAAGTGAGGCCATCGCACTAACTCGTAGTAAATCCACACGCTTGTGGACACTCCAAGACGTTCATCAGATGGCCATCTCATGAACAAATGACAGGCATCTTCACGGATCATTGCTGCCAGCTGATTCATGGCTGGTACTTCTTAAGCCATAGAAGACCGAGGATGAAATCAAATTTGTCATCCAAATCCAGTACGGTGAAGTCATCATCGTACTGCTTTCCTTCTAGCGTGTAGTGGACTCCCACTACACGTTTATTCACTGTTACGGATGCGCCTGTAGCAAGGCACACCGTGACGCTACTCGCAAGGTAGCGTAGGTGTTGTGCGTAAGCGTGCACGTCACGTTTACCTTGCTTTAGCCTCAAGAGTGCAGAGCGTGCTCTGAACTCGGCTCTCGGCGGCTCAAACGTCTCTTTAAGCCGAGACTTCAAGATCTCCAACGACTCAAACACGTTTGGGTCCTGAAGCTTGATCCCTAAGGCCCAAGTCTTTGCTCGTCCCGTCAAATTTGACAGGGCGAAGGTGACTTGCATCTCGTCACCCTCGATGTGATGGCCCCTGATGGTATCGTCTAACTCGACGAACCATCTCAAAAAGGAATCTTCATCGGTTACCTTTTACCTTGAGATATCAATCTTCAAGGTTCCGGGTCGACGCATGTGCGTCGGCCCGCCCATCGACTGATGAGAGCCTTGCTACTGTAGCAAGGCTATCTTCTGTCGTTCGACGGCAATTTACCCTTGTAGAAACTTGTTGATAGCATCATGTTGCTGGCCTATGCTTTGAGACTCGAACATGCCACTGATGGCGGTCTCGCCCATGAGCACACTCGTGCGACCGACTACCTCCCATTCTGAGTCACTCAGGTGTGAGTAGCCTTCACGTGTGACGTGAAAGATGTCGTCTTATACGTCCAACATGAACATGTTGGACGGCACTAAGTAGTTGGTGGGAGGACTACAAAGTGCTACCAGGTGTAACGGGCACCCTTTGTTTGGGGTGCCGCGAAACTTCATGTACACGAGTACGTGCATAGGAAGCTAATTACTTGAACGACTCGGTCAAGTAAAGGTAAAACGAGAACTGTATTTAATATAGTTAAGCTATCAATATAACTTTACTCTTTATCTAACTATATTAAACTACGCCGTTGTATGACGACAACCTGCTCACCACTCATTGCGCGCGTCTAGCAGCGATTGGTGGCAATCTATGGTTGATATGTCTTATAACTACCAATCTTGGAGCAGCGCATGAATTTTATCCAAAAAGGGAAAACATTATTTCAACATTATCCACCTCGGATAATGTCGGTAGAATATTGTCATGCTAGACAATATTCCTATTGATACCGTTTGGTGTCAATATCACGTAACGGACTACCCCGTTGAATAGACCGATTAAGAGAAAAGTAGGACAAGAAACTAGTCCACCTTGACATGGATCTTTCCAGAGATTCGGTGTGGTTAGCGACCACGCGGCGTGCCTGAAAATTCAAGGTATGGAATGTATATTAAACTCGATCGTACATATTTCAAGCTTAAGAGGGTCCGGGAGTTCCATGATCGACCAAGTAACGAAAAAGAGAGATGGACAGAGCAGACTCGATCGACTTCGATAAATGTTTGCTACAGGAAGATAGTTGGGTGCAAGAACTGGAGGTGTGCGGATACACATTCGAAGAAATTTTACAAGTCGTGTAAGCAACAAGAATCGGTTGGGGTGAAGACAGCGAGAATTCTTCTTACATTGGAAGGGAACTGTGGATCCCTTATGGGTGGATGAAGTGGATTTAAAATGGG